CGACAACCACATACTACCACCACAAGTAACGCTTTACACTTTATAACAATTCTCATGAAATCATCTTTACAAGTTCCCTCTATTCCTAATATTATCAATCATACATTTCAAAATCCAAAAGGAATTGATCCTAGTAATATAATTATTAAACTTGATTTACAATTTATGAAAGATTTAAACATTACTTATCATGAACGAAAGAGAAATTTCACAAATTTATTTGGATTACATGAAACTCATGAAGAACGTACTGAACGGTTGCTACGGATTGCTGAACGAAAAAATGATAGGAGTATGCAAAATATAAAGTTAATTAATCTCTTGAAAGGTAATTTACATTCAACCAAAGATTATATTTCTGTAATACAATTAATTACTGATATTCTGGAATTATGTGAATATTTGGAAAGAAATATTTTGATCACTCCTATGGATTATCCTAGACAAAAGAATGTTCGTCATGCAATTGTAGATCGTATAATTAATGGAGAACAGTCTAGTGTACTGTCACAAATTCTTAATATTGTACCTTTTATTGGTCTCCTACATATATCCTTAAATAGTCGAGAAACAGTATTTCTTATTAATTATCACTTTTTTGAAAAGATGTATCATTCAATATTTGGATATCGCAAGGTTCTTGCTAAAAAACCTAAACCTTATTGAATTAATCTTCTTTTGGAACTTGCATTCAAAGGGTAGCTTCTAGTTAAAGAACCTATTCAAAATCTTTTTTATAATTGTAAAGATTCAGAAGCATGTATGCTTATTGATCTTTTAGATAATGTGATTCCATTGGTATTGGATTTTTATTCAATAATTTTTCGTAATAGGTGTTAGGAAGCATATGAAGAAGCAATGTTACGCATATAGGTTATTTTCTATCGATATCGACGTAAAAATTACAACAAACTACCATTGGCATTTCTTAGTGATGTCTTTTATTAGCAATATATTGAACACCCTATAGCAGAGACTCTTAAAAGTTCTCTTCATATTTTTAATGATTATTATGTAGAAAACTTTCATAGTTCTATTCGACATCACACAAACAGTTTTAATACTGCTCAACAAATAATTCATCAAGCAAAAATAATTGATCAAACGCGTGGTAAAAATTCTTTTATTGAGGTATTTTCAAAAAGTCACAATATTATTTATGAAAAGGAGAAGTTGGAATTTTTGGAAAAAAAATCTGCAATTTTCCTTTTATATTTATTCCAAAATGTTTGGAAAAATCATGGATGTATAACAAAAAAAAAAGTTAAAAAATATTGGCAATATAATTTGCCAACTTTTGGTAAAATTGTGGATGAAAAGGTCCTTCCGATGGGTTGGAATTCATCTGTTTTACCCAAATTAGACAGATTGTGTGACTGGAATAAATGCACCTTATCATCAAAGACATCAGATAGTATTTTATCGTGTGGTCATGGTTATCATACTGAATGTTTTAATCAAACAAATAAAAAATATTTATATTGCTATAAATACCTTTGCAATAGCATTAAAGATAATTGTAAAATATTTCAGAATATGTTGAATAAGAAATCAGATGATGATAAAGATCGTGATAAAGATTTGGAAGATCAAACAAATCAAGATGATAATGATGATGAACTTGTTTCTGTTGAGAAAAATATAAATAGGGAATTAGAAAAAGCATTAGAATTATTTAAATTATTTCAATAATATGATTAGTATCAATTAATGTTAATTACCGTAAAGCACTGACTAATCTACCCCGGGTTTTTTACAAATTTACCCCTAGATTTGTAAACTACCTGGGTAGTTTAATCAGGGGGTACTTTGGTATGAGGGGGTTTTTTAATCGGAAAATATATGTAGATTGTAATAATTGTAATGCCCATAAAATTCTGTGCGTTTTATAACGCGTTTCACTTGTATCGTATTTCCCGATTTTTTTTTCTTTCAAAATAGTCATTATAGGAAACCAAAAGTCAAAATGTTCTAGAATTACTTTAAAAAAAAGAAGACAATGGTGTGTACGTGAGAAGTTAATGGTCTTACAATATTTGCAATGTTCAAATATTGTTCGTACAATAGCAAAACATTTTGGTATAGAACTAAGTCAAGTTCGGAATTAGAGGAAAAAAAAGGACCAGTTGAAATCTTCAGCATCTTACTTACTAAAGTTACATGGTGGTAGACAACCATTTTTTC